AACTTATGACTACTGTTAACTGCTCTGTTATGAAGTTACAAAATACAAGATTTTGGCTAATTGTCAGTCTACTTTCATGGACTCCAACCAAATCCTTATATATGGTAACTTTTGCTGTCATTCAACATCTAAATGTTAATTATGTGGTTATGAAGCATATCAGGAGGACCTTGCTTATATGTTTGAATTATCCTCACACAGATGAAATTTTTTAATTCAGTTTTTGAAAAAGCACCGTATCCATCTATTCAAACTCTTAAATATAGATCAGACTAAGATTTTCTAGTCTCTTTACCAACCTAATGTGCTACAAGCAGAGAGGTCTTCCATCCTCATATGCTGTCTGGCTTTGCACTAAAAGGGTAATAGAAAATCTAGAACGTTATTTCCTCGAGAGTGAATTTTATAGAGGGAAAGGGATAAATGGATTCTCTCTGAAACAGAAAATATCTTGTTTCCTAATTCTCCCTCAAAGATAGCTTATCTCATGGGATAAAAAACATATCAGAATGATTGCCATCTTTGCTCATTTGGCAAATACTTGTAGGCAGCAAAGGAGAATCGAGCGTAACATTTGGGGATAGATCCTTCCATCATAGACAGGCAGCAATATTTTATTTGATAATACTATTTTTATGTTTATTTTATGAGATGGTTATCCGATTTCTGAGATAGTATATCAGTAGGTTATACGAATGTTCTTTGATGTCAGAAATGCAGTGTGTCAGTGGAGGTTCTTCCCAAATCACGAAGAACTATCCTTTTGATATATTATATGGGTAGCAGAGAGGTGGTGTTGGCTGAGACACATGGTGTGGCCACTTTCCTCTTCATTCAACAGTTAATGAGGTTAAGAGGAGGAGGGGAGCTGAAATAGGGTTTTGGAGTTCATTCAGTTGCCTTCCTCTTTAAAAACCCAGAGCTTGTTTTCTCCCTAGTTGTATCATTCTGAATTCTTCTGGTACATCATATTGCATTTTTAAATTACTCCCATTTTAGTGGTGCCTGTTCCCTGCAGGAGGGACCACTTGCTATGATGTGTGCTGCTCATTTGATTCTCAGAGAAAGAAGCTTGTAAATCTGGGCTCATAAACATGTAAAAATACCGAGAAGTCCTTACACCGTTGCAATTAGCAGCTGAAACGGTGAGTGCCACTTAGTACTTTCTAAGGTGGCATTGTGATATAGCAACACATGAAATAATTTTCTGGAAAGAAGCAAGATGCTTAGGAACAAACATTTACAGCATCCTTTATTTCTGTCCACTGTTGTGAGCTCTTTTTCTTGATGCTAAATCTTCGAGGGCTACCAAGTATGTACCGGCTAGTGTCTGTGAATTTCCATTTCATTTTTAATTGGGATAAATTTGGAGCCATTGTGGTTGTAGAACACCAGAGTCCCCTACAGTGACCCATATGAGTGGCTGCTTCTAATGCAATGGTATGAGTGTTGTAACAGAGGTGAAGCTGTGTGCGTTACACTCAATTCAAGGAAGATGTGAATATCCTCCCCCATTTTTTTTACAGAACTACTTTTACAGTTTAGCAAAGGCCTAAAACAGGACTCAACAGTCCTAGGACTTCTCAGCTTCCCCAGAAATCCACACTTCCCTCTCTTTCCCCAGAGTTCTGATTGGTTTTTAATTGAAAGAGGCAATAATAACATGTTAACTAACAATATGCGGGATGTGGGTGGCACTGTGGTCTAAACCACAGAGCCTAGGGCTTGCCGATCAGAAGGTTGGCGGTTCAAATCCCCTGCAACAGGGTGAGCTCCCGTTGTTTGGTCCCAGCTCCTGCCCAACTAGCAGTTCAAAAGCACGTCAAAGTGCAAGTAGATAAATAGGTACCACTCTGGCGGGAAGGTAAATGGCGTTTCCATGCGCTGCTCTGGTTCGCCAGAAGCGGCTTAGTCATGCTGGCCACATGACCCAGAAGCTATCTGCAGACAAACACCAGCTCCCTCGGCCTATAGAGCAAGATGAGCGCCGCAACCCCAGAGTCGTCTGTGACTGGACCTAACGATCGGGGTCCCTTTACCTTTACCTAACAATAAAGGGAACACTTAAGGCAGACATGACTTTAAGGCAGGCACACATCACCTTTCATGTGTGATGCAGCTTAATGGGGCCTTCAAAATCAGGGGTGGGCCAAAGGTAGACTGGGATAATGGCAGGTCTCTGAGTGATTTGCAGTAGAAGAGAAAGGGGTTCTGAATCCCCATTGTTCAACAGCATCAACAGCAGTAAGACTCATGATCAAGGTGTCTCCCCTGCCAGGTAAGACCTGCCAAGGAAACTAAAAACATCTTCATGTATGCGACAACGGAGGCAAGAGTCTTAATAGCACAAGGATGGAAGAATGAGGAAATCCTGACTAAAGAACTGTGGCAAGAGAAATTGATGGATTATGCGGAATTGGCGGAATTGACACACAAACTACGTGACAAGGACAACTGTGACTTTAAAGAAGAATGGGAACCTTTTACAATGTATTTAAAGAAACAACAAAATGAACTGGACTCCTTGGCAGGTTTTGAATAAACACTCACCAACTTTTTATTGGTAACATATAGATAGATAAATTAAGGATCCATACAATGTTATAACATGCAGAGAATAATATGTGTTGAGAAACCAGAGAGAGGAACTGAAGGAAGTCTGGGGGGTGGGGTGGGACGGTGGGTCTTTCTTTCTTTTTTTCTTTTTGGGGAGGGGTAGGGGGGAAATGAGGGGGGAAGGGAGGAGGATGTATTTTTTTGATAAATTGTTATGTTGAAATTCCTAATAAAAAATATTTTTTAAAAAAGGAAAAGGAAACAGCAATATGACTCTCCCCACCAACAGTTGCAGACCTTGGGGTCTCAGATTTCAGCAGTGGCTGTGCAGTGCCAAAATTCAGTGCCCCTCTGCCTCTTGCACTCCATCCTGTGGCACCCCCATGGCTCCGCACCCAGTGCAGCTGAACCGACTGCACTCCCCTAAACCCCCCTTTGTCATCACACACCAATTGGACTGATGGAATGAAGAAAGGCTGTGAGCGACCAGAAATATATTTTTGTGTGGAAAGATTGTGGCCTCAGCTCAGTTCTGGGACTTAAAACAAAACTCCATTGTACAGCAGATGCTCAGGAGCACCCCGCTATTTCAGCCTAAGCACATGACTTTTGCATCTGGCCCAAGTTAGTGGGTCTCAGGGTAGATCCCACAAGCCTGCCCTCTCCTGTTCTAGCAGCAATGCTATTCAACAGGGGAGTGGATCATTGCTGCCACCCCTTTTGTTTTCTCTGGTCTTTTTTATTATTTGGTAAGTTAAAAGGAACAGCTCTGAACACTTTTGACAACAGATATGGAAACAGCCAATCTGAGCCAGTGTTCATCAAATGCTGTGCCAGTTTGAATGGTTGGGCTAGTGGCACTACTGAATATTCCCAGAAGGCCGAACTGTGCCTATTAGTGGTTGCCAGTTGTTTTCATGTGCACAAATTCTGTCACACCTTTGCCTGCTGTTTCTGGGAGGGAAGAAAGGTAGGGAGCTTGTTGTGGCATTATATCTGTTTTCCAGTGGCAGAAAACCAGGAACTGTAATTAGCTTTCTGGCAGTCCTTGCCCTGATTCATATGTCAAGTAAGATGCAGATAAAAAGACAAATGATTTCCCCCCTTTCTTGCTTAAACACGGACTGCTACAACACCCAACACATTGCTCTTCTCCTTAGAGAAGAGTTTTGCTTTCCTTTGATCAATGCCTTGTCAGGATTGATTTGCCTCCACAGTCATCTTGCTGCCACACAGTGGTGCCCTGCATAAAATTTCTTAACTTTTGATGGGGTCTCTGGAGATAGCTAATTAACAACCCTGGGAGATATGAAAGCTCCAAAGATTAAGATAGTCATGATATGCTAGATTTATAAAGCGCCTCGCTTAATACATTCATTAATCAAGCCTCCACACTCCTGGCAGAAAAAGAATTCACAATTTGTTCCACCTAATACAAGGGTGAATGGAAGTGCAGAGTAAAACCAACTTATCAAAGAGGCCAGTGGCTACTGACAGTTAAATTACTCTCTCTAAAAGAGAGTAAATGCAGGAGATGAAAAGGCAACAAGATCTGCCATGATTGAGTAAGGTCACTTTCTTCTCCTCCACATCCCAAAATGGCAGGGTCAGTCGAGTGATAACTAAAACAGCGCTGCTGTCCATCCCCAGTTAAAAGAATCAACAGAATGCTAGAGTCCTCCCAAAACCCATGTAGTCCAACATTCTGTGCCCACAAGCAGGATATGAGAGCAAAAGTCTTCTCCTGTTTATGACCCCCAGCAACTGGTATTCAGAGGCACACTTCTGAACGCTACACATTACTTGCACCAAATAGGGATGTATCCAAAAACAGTATTCTCAATGCAATATCTCTCCCCTCCTTACTGTGGCATCTAGGGCTACATTCACACCATATATTTAAACAACCATGGCACCACTTTATGCAGTCATGGGTGTCCCCTCCACATAAAAATAATGAGAGCTGTAGTTTAAGGGTGCAGAGAGTTGTTTGAATGCCCCTATTCCTTTCGCGGAGCTACAATTCCCAGGGTTCCTGGGAATAGCGATTGGCTGTTAAACCACTTCAGGAATTGTAGCTCTGCAAGGTGAACAGGTGTCTGCTAACAACTCTCAGGCCCTTAGCAAACTACAGCTCCCTGAATTTTTATTTTTTTTTATGTTGTGGTATTTAAATGTATGTCATGAATATGGCCTAGCCATACTTGCAAGCAGAGGCAAGGCCCTCCTCATGTTGAGCTATGGAAGCACTGTTGTTCTGTGGTAAAGCAAACTGCTTTTCATGGTGGCAGATGATGCATGCAAGCTTTGTGATGAGATGTTTGTTTAATGTTCCTGGGTTTTTTTCCCAAAAAAGCCAGTTGCCTTGGAAAACAGGGGATAAGTAAAATTGTAGCTAGGTAAGGGCGAGGCTGTTCTGGGCAGTCCTGGCAACTGTCACCATAGGAATTGTCATGTTGGGAAAGCGACAGTTGGGGCAGTTAGTTCAGGGAGAGGGAAGAGAGCATGAATGTCGGGCTAGCGGTAGAAGTAAGTCCTGTGGGGAATTTGTGAAAGACATCTGGTGAGGGGAGACAGTGATCAAGGGCTGGGAGTGGCTGAGGCAGGTAGAGAAAGAAGAAAACAGAGGAGGAGGAGGAGGAGAGAACAGATGTAAGGTGTAGGGCTAGTCCTTCAGCCTGCAAGGCCAAAGAGCAGTGTGAGAGGGTCGCCTCACAGGAACAGCCAGGACATCAAAAACTGGTGGGGGAGAAGAATGCAAAATTGGTTTATTTTATAGGAAATAATATAGCCTTGCACGGGTATTATAATCTGGAGAGAAGTTGTTCCTTCCCTCTTTAATAATAATAATTTAACCAAGGCGCTGGCGTAGACTTCCAAGCTTCTTTCCCAGATCGTCATATGCAGGACATCTCTGTCTCTATCCCTGGCATATCTCCAGGTAGGGCTTGGAAAGTCCTCTGTTTGAAACCCTGGAGAGGCTCTACCAATCAGTGCAGAAAAAACTGAGCAAGATGAACCAATGGTCTGATTTAGTACTAGGTAGCTTCCCAAGTTCCTATTGAACCTGTTCCACACCATTGGCTGCTGAGGGGCATAGATGGGGGAACTCAAAATATATTGTGGCATTCAGGGAAAGTGAATCTAGACTTGATATCAGGGATGGGAAAGATCTATTACAGTTTCCAGTGGCATCTCCATTGTAGGCATATTGTGCAGCCCAGCTCTAAGTGCCTGATGGATTTCTTCCTAATTGTCCTATAGGCAAATATTCCTATGATTTTATGTTCCAGTACTGAAGCCATTTGTCCAGATGGGGAAAGTTAGTTTCCTGTGATGGAAGCTGTTAAATAATCAGCTGCAACTACATGGACAGGGCATTATGAACCGCAGCCAAGAGGATAGATTTCAAGAGGTGGAGGTCCCAGGATTAATTATAACAGATTACATAATCAGGTCCTTCATTTATAATCTTTTGGCAAACTGTCCCTAAAGCTACAAAAGTGGGGACCTCTGCTCCCTATTTAGATAATTGAAATCCTTTCAGAACAGCAGCTGAAAACAATGCTGGAATGGAATAAATAGCCTCACCTCTTAGTCTTGAAGGTTCTGCTTGGATTCTATAGAACATGGAGAAACTGGGATAGGTGGAAAGGGATTGACATAGCTTTCCACTGCTCTTGCCTGCAAGACCAGTAGTTTATATAATCCCTTTGGTCAGTCTAACCATCATGTGCTTGTGGCTTCCCACTTTTTAGCTGCATATAGGTAACATTAATTGGAGTCTAGCGTTATAGCCATTATTCTGCCCCCAGCTTTGCAGATTCATTTGTGTGTGGTGATGTCCCTGTTGTCACTGCCCATGGGTTAGTTCTCCAGATGTTATTGGAATCCAACTTCCATTAGCCTCAGACATCATGGTAAATAGGGGAGATAGGAGTTGAAATCCAGCAACATATAAAGGGCCACAGGTTAGTCACCCCTTGTATAAATCAGGGCTGGATTAACTATTAAAAAATGAGCACACAGTTATTTGCACTTCTGAAAAACAATGGGGTTCCCCTAAGGATGTGAATATCTGTCTCTCTTGTTACTCTCTGTCTCTCTTTCGGCTCCATTGCTATTGACACTCACCACCTGAGTTGGCTATTAGAGGCAGCATTTCCAGAAACACCCAATGTCTCTCATGCTTTGTTACTCCTTTATGGGCACTGTCCCTGAGCAAGCTGTTAGAATTCCTGCTCCATGATTGCAGTCATGGGATTTTTGTCTATCACATGACGGTGTATGTTTTTACTCCACAGAGTAGGAAGTGACGGAGACAGGATGTTTGTGTTACTGTATTCCGTGAAGAGGGACTATTGTCCTTTGTTCTTTTTCTCTCTTTGCTGTCTGATGCTAGAGAGAGAGGGAGCCATGTTGCAGTGCTCCAGGTGTGTTTATATGTAAATAAAGTATATTAGCCAAAATGCTGAGTTGCTGAGGTCTGTTACGCAAACTGCAAAGACGCTGCAGATCCCTAAGTGTGCCGATGTCTGTTGGCATCAGTTGCTGTGATGTTCGGGCTGAAGAAAGCTAATGAAGCTCCTGAACGATTGACCAGGAGGGAGAGAACATGCCAGTTGGGCATGTGTCTCTGCCAGGGTCCTACTCGAGTGTAGGACGCGTGAAGTGGAGGTACCAAAGAGGTCATCTTGATTCTGCATTAAAAAAAAGTGAGAACAAAGAATGGCAACTCTGGAGAAAATGGCTAGACACAGAAGCAACCCTTGTTCAAGTGTTCGTGCGATGCTGTTGAAAATCATTCTAGAACAGGGAGAGCCAGCGTGGACTAAAACTCCCATCAGCCCTGCCATCATACTGAATAGTCAGGGATGATAGGAATTGTAGTGCAATACCATGTGAAAAACACCATGCTAGGTACCTCTGCTCTAGAAAAATTCGCTGTGGCAGAAAGCTTTTGCATCATTTAGGATGCCCTGCCATGGGCAATCTTCTCATATAGCAATGGCAGACCCGAATGCCATCTCTTCTCTGGGGCATCCAGGTCCCTTTGAAGCTTCTGAAAAAATTCCCAGGTCTTGTAATTAGGGGACTTTCATGCCTTTAAGGGAGGACAAAAACACACACACAACCTGCAAGCCTGGATTGCATGTCAAAGAGCTTTCCATGGCTTTTTGTTTTTTAAATGCGTAGGCTCAAAGCTGGCAATGTGCTAATTAGAAATTTGTATCAATGTAAATGATTTCTGCATGCAGATTAGAGCGTATCTGGCTCTCCAAAGGTATTTTTCCCTAGACAGGTTTCAGGGGAGAGTCTGAGATGGAAGCTGCATTTGGTGCTGTTTGTAATATCCGAGTCACGATCAGTGGAAACTCATCTATCAAATCAAGGCTATATTTGAAGTACAAAGGCAGGGCACATTTTTGCTGAGGATCATCCCCGAAGACAAAGGCTTCCTGCATTATTTAAAAGCATCCCTGATGAATCCTTGTTAATAAGGCTAGCTCTCTCAGCAAGCCAACCAGCAGGAAAAGCAAGGCAGCTTTCCCTTGCAGCTGAAAACTGGGTCTGTGGCATTCAAAGGGCCATTGATTTTCATTTCCCATTTCAACACCCACAAAGGCTGGACGTGGCCTCTTCAAATCTGTTAAGCACCTCTCAGATGCATGTCGAACATAAATCTGTGCAAACCACAGCAGGACATGCATTTGCCATACATTTGTCAAAGAAATACATTTATGGAAGAATGGACAGGGAGAAAGGCCTTTGTGGGTTTTGGTTTGCATGGAATAGATCTGGTTCAACCAGCTCAAATCAATTGACAGTCTAGTATGAATGGGGAGAAATTTGGTTTGGTTAGAACCTGACTAATTCTCGCCTCCTGACACAGTTCTTCAACCAAAATGCAGCGGTCCTTCAGAATTTGCTCTTCTCTGAATTTTGCAGTGCTGTTCTGCAACCAAAGGAAGTGTACAGAAATGAGCTTTGGGGGGGGAGGGGGCATGAAAAAGCATAAAATAGCAAAATGCATTACAGTAGTGGGAAATACACATATAAAAACACATATGGGGGGGGAACAAGATGTGCATAGCCGGACAAATGTGCACTAAGATGCGGACCAATTTTCACGAGGACTTTTAAAAATTGCAAGCTGATGCTGAAATGTGGTGAACTGAACTTAAGTTTGTAATAATAATGATGATAATGAGGATGAAGTTGATAATAATAATAATAATAATAATAATAATAATAATTTATATCCCGCCCATCTGCCTGTGTTGCCATAGCCACTCTGGGCAGCCCCCAACAAATTTAAACCACAGCAAAACTTCAGATGTTTAAAACTTCCCTATACAGGGCTGCCTTCAGATGTCTTCTAAAAGTCCAATAGTTGCTTTTTCCTTGACATCTGGTGGGAGGGCATTCCACAGAGCGAGCGTGACAACCAAGAAGGCCCTCTGCCTGGTTCCCTGTAACTTTACTTCTTGCAATGAGGGAACTGCCAGAAGGCCCTCAGAGCTGGACGTCCGTGTCCGGGCTGAACAATGGGGGTGGAGACGCTCCTTCAGGGGACAAAGCCATTTAGGGCTTTGAATGCCAGCACCAACACTTTGAATGAAAGTCTGAGAAACCAAAAATGATGGATTAGATCTGTGCATTCTAGGTCAGGCATAAGCCTTAGGTTGGCACCAATTTGGACAGGAAGGAGAAATGTTGGGCAAAACACAGACACTACACTCTACAGGGGCATAAGAAGACGGGTCTTTTTTCTACTTCAAAGGGCTCCTGGGGGGAAGCCAGGTTTCTCTCCAATAAACAATTGCAAATGTATTCAGGAACAGTAGATTAACAGTGCATGGCCTGTTTAACCGCAGCCCAGTGTCCAGTCTGCTTCTTGGACTGTGTTTTGAAGCACTGCCAGAGAGCTGGATACAACTCGGTTAACAGCTGGTCTTTCCTTATCTTCATTGTATTTCCACCCTGTCAGTCTAAGTTTATCGTCTTTCCCTCAAGGGAAGGGTGCATGTCTCCTTACTGTCCCCCTACTATCCCATTTGGATCACAGAGTGGTTCCAGTAGGAGATACCCTTGCAAGAACGGATTGGCAAGGGCGTTATTTGCTCCGGCAACAACAAAGCCTTGGATCCGAAGATTTGTTGTCAAGTTTACAAAGGGGGTGTTTCCCACCCTTTCCTCCCACCCTACCCTTGTAGACATCTGAGATCTCCAAAAAAAAGTCTCTCTTGAAGGTCAGGGGCCATCATGAATATTGTGGAATGGGACACAGGGGCTGCTGGGTGTGGAGCCAATTCCTAGGGGCTGAGGTCCCTTTGGCCCCTTTAATAAAATATTTTAGAGGGCCAGCCCCCCAGCTGATGGACATTGTCATTCCAATAGTGTGTATGCACCGCATCTTGTGATTGATTACCTTCCCCCCCTCCATATTTTATTCAAGTTGGCACCCCTGGTGGTGGGAGATGGGAAATGTAACTTTCCTTCTGTGAACTTCCTTAGGATCCATGCCAAAGCAGAGGCTCAGAGAGACTCCAATAACCAAAATGTCTCTTTTACTTCTTGTTATTGGAAAGGGTGATATTAGAGAAGCTTAGGAGAGGAAGGGAGTGCCTCTCTTGTACCACATGCAGTATCTTTATAAGTAAAAAAAAAGGTAAAGTGACCCCTGACCATTAGGTCCAGTCGTGGCCAACTCTGGGGTTGCGGTGCTCATCTCGCTTTATTGGCCGAGGGAGCCAGCGTACAGCTTCCAGGTCATGTGGCCAGCATGACTAAGCCACTTTCTGGTGAACCAGAGCATCACACGGAAACGCCGTTTACCTTCCCGCCAGAGCGGTACCTATTTATCTACTTGCACTTAAGGGTGCTTTCAAACTGCTAGGTGGGCAGGAGCTGGGACTTAGCAATGGGAGCTCACCCTGTCGCGGGGATTCAAACCACCGACCTTTTGATTGGCAAGTCCTAGGCTCTGTGGTTTAACCCACAGCGCCCACCCGCATCCTATCTTTATAAGTACCAGAAGATAGTTAGGTCTGGTTAAGGGATTTTGACGCACACACATCTTTCTTCCTGGCCAACTGTTTTAGGAGGAGGAGGAGGAGCAGCAAAATGTAATTCCCATTTATAAAAACATAATTTAATTTTCTCACATACGAAAGATCACAGCCTTTGACTGAATTTAGTTAGAATAGCTGCTACTCCATGGTTGTCTGCACAAAATCACTAATGTCACTAGGGTTACCGCGTTCTACTTATAAATCTGAATTGTACCCCTTTACTATTAAAATATCCTGATTGTGACTAACAGGATGGTTAAAGTGATGGCTAAGCTTATGAGTACTGAAGTTGTTTTATGTTTGTGATGAGGCTTGCCTCCAAGCAAAAACGGTTGGAGACAGGCCATTAAATGTGAAATAATGTAAGTAGGCAATTTGCATAAGTAGACCATTTGTGTGAGCGGGAAATGTGTCAGGCTGCAATCATTTACCCATTTTCCTGAGACCATGCCTCCGGATGGATCAAGCTGTCACTTTCGGATTCTCATTTTTTTCACTTCTTAAATTCAGCTCACCACATTTCTACACAAGTTTGCAATTTTTAAAAGTCCTCATGAAAATTTACCAGCATTTTCCCAAACAGACACATTTTTGTATGTTATTTTGCTGGCAATTTCTCCCGAACAAAATGCTGGTGGTTTTTTTGTTTGTTTGTATTGTTTTTGGTTTTTTTGTATGCTGTTTTCACAATTACATGCAATTTCCCACAATTCCCCTTAATATACACATTTTTGTACATATTTTGCTTGAAAACTTGAACAAAATTTCTTCTCCATCCCACAAACAGGGCACTGAAGTCCTTGCTCAACCACTGGGTGGACTTGCACACGTTATTATTTTCCAGTGAAATCTCTGCTTCACAAGGTTGTTGTGAGAAAATGATATACCATAGTCTAGGCAGCCCTGAGTGTCTTGGAGGAAAGCTGAGTGTGATCATTTTTGGTGGTGGGACCCCACTTGTTCAGTATCCTCCCTAAGGAGACTCACCTGGTGCCCACTTTGTTACTATTTAAGTGTCAAGCAAATACCTTTTCCTGGCTTCTAATTTCTTAATTATTTTAATCTGCTGTGACTTTTGGTTGATTGTTGTTTTATCCTGTGCTGTTGTTTTGTTTTATATCTTTTCTAATAATTGTATTTGTATGTTCTTATATTACTCTTCTGTAAGCATCAAGAGAATGGTCACTGGCCATTAATAATGTGTGGTATAGATTTCTGCAGAGTGTAAGGTTCAGAAAAAGCAGTTATAATAGTAATAATAAAGAAATAACGAAAAGGCAGCTAGGCACCTGGCCTACAGCAAAGAAAGTACCGGTAACTCTTTATGTATGGATAATTGAATCTCCTTGTTTGTAGAAATTTATGCAGTGTGAGTTAGACAGAGAAAATCCTGAGCAAAATAAATAGTCTGTCTGTGGCTGAAGGTTATCCTATTTTAAATGAAGAGATATCTTTTTTACTCCCTGGAACAGTTAATGAAGCAATTAAATAAGGTGACACTGAAGATGGTGCCTCCTATCACCCCAATCAACACTTTTCTTAATGTGACACCTTCCTGGCTATAATTTTCTTGACCTCTTGTTTGCATACAAGTTTTCTGTCTATTAATGCTCATTGAAAAAACACACTGACTACAGATTTTACTAGAGCCATTATTCTCAAGCGCTCGATCTCAAGTGACACACTGCCCAATCTAAATATAAGGCTGAAATAATATTCTTTTTATCTGGGAGTAATCCATATTGAACTCATCAAGACTCTCTTTTTGATCAGACACCTATAATCCTGCACTGCAAATGGGTTGCATGCCTCCCCTTGTGTTTTGTGTTGATTGCTGGTTCCAGAAACCTTTGAAGTCACCTCTTTTTGTTTCTCTTCACGCAGCAAATCATTTTGCTTCCACTCAGTGTCCACAGATTAATTGAACTCTTACAGGGAATCAACAGGAGCTTGCAGCTGTTTGAACAGGAGGAAAGTGTGGTTTTTGAGTTCTCTGCTATCAGTTCATCTGTGGCTTGACTTGTTTTCTTGAACTGTTCTCCTTTGTATAAGTTTTGAGTTCTCTGTCATGGTTTGTTATTTCATCTAGCGTTCTCAGCCTCAGTGTTTGTCATCTGTAAAATGGGCACATTCTCTTCTAGAATTTTTAAATGTTTAATTCCTTAACAATGTGCTCTCTCTCGCTCTCTCGCTGTGTGTGTGTGTGTGTGTGTGTGTGTGTGTGTGTGTGTGTGTTGTCCTACATTTGCCTTAATGTTGTGATCTGCATCTGATCTCACCTGCGTAACTTGTTGTATGTAGTTTTGCTTGCAACAGAGCTGGAGTTCACATGCTGTTCAGTTTTTAGCAGTGAATCAGCTGTGACAGCATACTCACTGCATTTCACTGAGATGTACAATCACCTTGTGGGGCATCTTTAGGAGAAGAAAAGGCTAAGCCCTACACAAATTCAGAGTGGAGTCCCTAAGACTGTTGAATGGAGTATTGTACGCCTCCTTCCAGCAACTCCTGGAGACCTCATGGTGCCACATTTTGCCTAATGCAGCAAAAACAATGCAAGAGGCAACAGTTACAAGTTGCCTGTCTCTGGGGCCACAGCAGGCGCTGTGATTCTCCATCAGATTGATTTTGGCCCCAGAGGCACAGTCCATCTCTCAAGACAGATGTCAATGACAATCGCCTTTGAAGCATACCTGAAGCGTGCGGGAGGGCACAAAATAACAAACACAATGAGCATTTGATTTACTGATAAATATACGATTTGGGGCAGATTTTGTTTACCATTCAAACATGTCAAATGTCCAGGGATGGTGATTATTCCAGCAACTAAGGTTGTATTCAGTGAATTACTACTCTAGATTAGACCCTAAATTAGTTGCGTCCATTAACTCTAGTGGATCTGCTCTGAGTTTAACTAGCTATGAATACAACCCTTAAAAAACTGGTCTTGTATATGTGCTATACATGATTCGGAATCATGGTTTAGGGTTACAATGCTTTTTGGTATGTGAAAGTGTGATAATGAAAATGTGGGTACATCAACTTATATATATATCATCAGTTTTTGGGAGAACCAGGTGCCTTAGGGTGAAAGGCGGGTAATAAATTGTCGTTGTCATCATCATCATCACCAGCAGCAGCAGCAGCAGCTCTGACTATTTCACTGTTGCATGGAGACATCTCAATTTAAGCCTCCCCACATTTTGCACATGGCATCAAAATTATCGGGGGTGTATGTGCAGTAACTGTATTTTATTTACTTGTAATTGGCATACTTTTCTGACAGTAGATTTATGGAGATTATACAATATTCTGCTACTGGTTTCCTCTCCGCCTTCCACCCAACACTTTTGTGGTCCTGTGACAATGTTATCATTTCAAAAGACTGGCTGAATCCTTTTTAAATGATCACTTCCCACCTTGTCCTTTTAAAAGACAGAGTATGTGTGCGTGTGAAAGACACAATCTCATCCCTGCTGAGGATGAGATTAAAAATAATTTGCATAAGTGTCCCAGGTCCGTGGCTGCACTGCTGCTGTCCTAATTGCACTTATAGCAAGTGTGATCTGTTTGAAGCAACCCCAGCAGTGATAGTCCTGGGGCCCCATTTTAAATTCATGTTACTATTTTTGAAGGGAATATCTGTGGAGCACTAAGGTAACCCATGGCAACCATCTGCTAAACTGCAATTCACACTGTCTAGTTTTATCACAGAGGTGGTGAGTTATTCAGGCAATTCTGTTTGTGTGTGTGTATGGAAAGGGGGTTGGGAATCAATTCTCCAAATCTTGGCAACACAACCACCATCTTACAGCAACTTTGCATTTAGTTAAATGGAACCATTCATAGCTAACTCCTCACTCTTTCTTTGTAATCTGTTTCTAGACACAGGTGTATTTTAAAATTGCAGAATGCATTTCAAGTTTTTCTCACTGTCTCCTTCACTTTAATGAGAAGGTTTCCTCTCTGAAAGGCTGAACAGTGTAGAAAACACTAAGTTCCTATTGAATATGCCAAACTCATAATACATCATTTCCATAATGCATACATCATAATGCATACATCATTAGGAAAGGAGCTGAAAATAAAACTGCCAGATCATAATGCCGTTATACAAATCTATGATATGCCGCACCTCAGAAAGGATGCCATAGAGTTGGAAGAGGTTCAGAAAAAGGCACCCAAAATGAACGGTGGGGTGGAACGACTGCCCTATGTAGAATGGTCGCAGCAAGGCAAGCAAGAGGCAACATGATAGAAGTGTATAACATTATGTATGGCATGGAGAAGGGGACAGAGAAAAGCCCTCTGCCCCCCCCCCCCACAAACTCATGGCACTAGGACTCTTGCACATCCAATGAACCTGAAGATTCAAGACAGATTGGGTTAAACCACAGAGCCTAGGGCTTGCCGATCAGAAGGTTGGCGGTTCAAATCCCCGCAACGGGGTGAGCGCCTGCTGCTCGGTCCCTGCTCCTGCCCACCTGGCAGTTCAAAAGCATGAAGTGCAAGTAGATAAATAGGTACCGCTCCGGCGGGAAGGTAAACGGCGTTTCCGTGCGCTGCTCTGGTTCGCAGAAGCGGCTTAGTCATGCTGGCCACATGACCCGGAAGCTGTACGCCGGCTCCCTCGGCTAATAAAGCGAGATGAGCGCTGCAACCCCAGAGTCGTCTGCAACTGGACCTAATGGTCAGGGGTCCCTTCACCTTTATTTTTACCTTTACCTCATATCACACATAGTTAAACTATAGAACTCGCACCCACAGGAGGCAGTGATGGCCACCAACCGAGATGGAATTAAAAGAGGAGACCAAGTCATGGAGGAAAGAGCTATTGATGGCTTCTAGCCATGATGGCTATGCTCTGCCTCCACAGTTGGCGGCAGCAATGCTTCCGAATAACAGTTGCTGGAAATCACAACCGGGGCGGGAAGTACTGTAGTGCTCAAATCCTGCTTGCGGGTTTCTCATAAGCATCTGGTCAGCCACTGTGAGAAAAGAGTGCAGGACTAGATGGACCACTGGCCTGAACCAGCAGGCTCTTCTTATGTTCCATCCTGATGATCTTTCCGAAGGACAAATCCTATAGAGAAGGAATATGGAACTTGTGCCACACACACCCCAACCTGGTTGGACTACAGTTCCCATTATCACTGACCATTAGCCAAGCTGAGTTAGAAGCCAACCACACCATCTTCTCTAGAGGACAAATCTGATGGCACTTGAGTCCTAAGAAGTTGAGATTAGGCCTTCTTCAGTGCAGCCCTTCCTCACAAGCCACAGAGAAGCCTCATTCACACATCATTATCATCTGAACTGTGGCTTACTGGAACTGTACTGGCTTCATGGGACAAACCTTGGCTGCAGATCATGGTTGAGAAAGAGACCTTAACCGTGACCTTGGGCTCAGATAGCATGCTAAGCCAACTTGTGGCTTAGATCAGGCACAAGCAAACTCCGCCCCTCCAGATGTTTGGGACTACAATTCCCATCATCCCTGACCACTGGTCCGGTTAGCTAGGGATGATGGGAATTGTAGTCCCAAACATCTGGAGGGTCGGAGTTTGCCTATGCCTGGCTTAGATGCTGTCCATACTAACCAGGGAGGAGCAAACATGTTTGCACAGTCCGAGTAAGCAAACCCAGTGGATTCAGAGGTCTACCCCTAGAATTGCATTGGTGGCTACTAGTCATGATGGCTAAATGGAGCTTCCAGGCAGTGTGCCACTGAGGGCAAGCTGCTGCAGAACAACAACAGGAGATGGCTACCCCCTTCTAATCTTGCTTATGAGGGAAAGGATGCTGGACCTGACGGACCCTTCATTTGATCAAGCAGGGCTATTCTTTGCTTCATAGATTTGTGAACAGACACCTGTGGGGGAAGCCAACAGAATCTGGAAGGAAGGTGGGGAAAGGCTCCTCACCATAGCTTCCCCTATACCGTCCCCTCATGCTGGCTGCAAGAGACAATTATTAGCCCGCAGTGGTGTTATCAACCTGCACTGCTGGGTCATGTTTCTGCCACTGCCCACAATGGAAGAAGAAAGCATTGATTCCCAGCTTCTCTGTATTGCAGCGGCAGAAGCTGAGCCTGTGCCTATTGTGGTTATTTCCACGCCAGAACCAATACGGTTTCCTTATCTGCGTATGAAGATGTCACAATCCACGTGGAGTATTGTGAAATATGCTAAGCAACCTGGGGCCTATTCTTTTGTGGGCCCTGCAGCCTCTCACGCTTCCATCAAAAGCACCAAGCTGGGAGCAAAGAAGCTCTTGTTTAGGTGCAACCAATGCACACCAGTGGCTTTTAAACATTGTTGGCATGCACAAGGTATTGAAGATGGTGACTTTCTACATGTGAGGGCACTCATGAGAGATGTTATGGTGCTGTATACATTCTGCCATTCCGTTGCAACTGCTGATAAATGTGAGATCCAATTCTATGTGGGGAAATTGTTGGTTTCAATGAGGGCTCCGGTACAGAAGCACAACTTTTCTTGTTTAAAATCACAGAACACATCCTGGCGGCGTCTTCTTCTGTGGGATAGAATGTGGCCCTCCAGACCTCTCTATCTGGCCCTCAGAACTCTGCCCAGGCTGCACTCTTCACCTATTTCACCCCACACACACCCCAAGCCCTGTTCCTCCTTCTGAAGTGGCTGACAGCAAGGCACTTGCCAGGAGAGCTCCCTTCTCCAACCTTGTTTCCCACCAATCAGGGCTCCCCTCTGCTTCTTCCTCCTCCTCCTCTTCCTGCATCAGGGCTTGTCAACTGAAGCCCCATCGCAACAGCACTGCAGGGCTCCTGACAGCCTTATTGTAATTTCTTTTCTCTCAGCTTAACGAACAATTGCAGCACAAAAACCTTCAAGTTCCCAGCTCTATTGTCTGGAGGTGTGGGTGGGTGTTGTGTAGTTGATGAGGGTGGTGTGAGTCACCTGCCCACCCCCCCTCCCAGTCTTCTTCACCATGCCCACTCCTTGGCTCTGAGTTGAAACTCTGACACAGTGTGGGGAAAGCCTTTTCAGCTTCGCCAATCCCTTATCACAGTGCTTTATTTTTTCTCTATTAAAAAAAAATGTTTAGGGGTACTCTCATTTTGACTCATGAAAATCACCATTTTATAGTTCAAATCGGGGGAAATAAATACAGTAAATGGACAAAAGTAGAAAGATTCACAAAATGCTTAGGGGTCTGCGTACCCCTGCATCCCCCCCAGAAAAAAGCATTGCCTTATCAGTTACACACCCACACCCACCCACCCATACAATATTACTTTGTGCACCATTGCTGGTTTTTTTTTTTTTGGTTTTTTTTTTCATATGGTACATATATATTCAAAGTGTCATAGTTCAGCACCTGCTTTTATTTGAGCATCCATACTATGTCATGTATAATCATCTCTCTATACAAAACCCTCCTGTGGATCATTTTGCAAAGCAAAGGCAATTCCAGCACCTGATAGGGATCAGTAACGTTGGGGTCTCCTATTTGTTCAATGCCCTGCCCCTCCTTGTAATCTACTTACGTTCTTCCTATAAGCTCATCATTCTGTTAATATTTCAGTTCCCGGCATCTACTTATACCGGGTGTACAACATGTCAAAAAGCAGGCAGCATCCAATGGCTCTCCTCCTTTATCTTATCACAGAGGTTACAAGAAATAACTGCACATGCACAAGAGCTAAATAATTAAATCCACACAGCCCTTCCAATGTGCAGTGCATTAATGCATGTTTCGCAAAGGTCTGCTACTACACCGTGCAGGTGCAAGATCGTGTAGGCAGACCCCTTTTTTGTCACTAGTGCTTTAAGCAACAGCCATTAATTTTTTTCCAAATCACACCTTTCCCCCCTCCTTTTATACTGAAGGTAGGAGACAGAGGCATTCTGGTTTGGGCTTCAGAGAGACAGCACTGGTGGCTCCGCAAACCCCATCTCTGGGAATTCAATCACTGTATAGAGAAAGGTGTCCTGCAAAGTGGGAAATGGGAAAAGTTCTTATCCCTCCCCCCAAACATCCCTATATAATACAGAATGGTTAGTTTTTAACCTCATAACATGCATTTCCCACACCCCCAAACTCTCATGCCTGCTCCAAAATGCTCAGCATACAGTAAGCTGTTAGGGCCTTAGCAGGTCAATTTTCTTTCCCTCCCTGCAACACCTTTTGTCTCTCTCTCCAAAAAAAAAAAGTTTTAAAAGAAGCAGTGGCTGAGTCACTGTTAAGGACAGTTCAGAGACAAAGTATGACATTTGGTAATGATTCATTTCCTGTCCCTGCCTAAATCTCTGCCTCCTTACTTAATCAGCCATGTTTCTAGTTAATATTGTGGTCAACAAATGAAAGTTATGTGAGCCCTTCTGTGGGGTTTTTCTTTATCTATACCTGACCACTGTGAGAAGAGCCTTCTTGGAAGTTTGGTCATATGGGTGACTCCTTCCAGACTATGCCAACAATGCTGTAGACTGCGCATACCATTTCCTGGAACACATGAGGTAAAGGTCATTCGGTGTAGACGCACGGCAGCCACCCACACACCAAATTCCTTTGTTCAGAATTTTTCTTGAAACTTGGTTTTTCCCAGAGGTCTGCTGAACTGAACAAAAAACAAACACCAATAGATCCTTACTTTTGTACATTGGACACTGCCTCAAACCAGGTCAGACACTTTGCTCACCTAGCCCAGCATAGCTTCCTCAGATGAACAAAGCCTCTCCAGTGTCTCAGGGGGCAGTCCTGCCAATTACCTGCAGTGGACATATCCACGATTCATGTTAGGGGGATAGGATTTATGTGGAGGAGGGGGGCAGAACTGAGCTTCAGTTAAGTATTTCTATTTATTTACTTGATTTAGGGGAAGGGGCAGGTGCCCCCCTGGCTACACCCATGTGACCTGCTACCAAATTGCCTTTTTATAAAACTGATACCAGGGATTGAACCTGGGACTTTGGCATGCAGACCACTGAGGGCATGGCCAGAGAGCTTTCTCTCTTTTCCTGCAACTTTCCCCTGTTGACTGCTGAATCGGAATAAGCATCAATGCGGATTGACTTTGTTCCAACTCAGCAGTAAACAGTGGGGTTTTCCTAGGGAAGTGTGGACAAACTTAAAGTTATGATCAATCCACCCTTATCTACCATCAGGCTGACCCAATTTGAAAGCAGGAAGAGGGGAGACAATTCCTCTTTAGATCATATCCCCATCCTGGGAACTAGTTTGTTAAGGGTACAGAGAATCCTATGAGGTAAACTACAGTTCCTATGATATTTGGCGGGGAGAGCCATGTGCTTGAAATGTATAGTGTCAATGTGACCTAAGTAAGGGATGGGGAACTGTCATGAAGGCAGCTTGGGATCAGAGAGGGAAGGCCCAGAGACCAAGACAGTGGCTGTCTATCTGTTTTTTTATAATCCTCCCCTGTCAGTCATGTCTGCTGCCTTGGAATACCTGTTCAAGGAAGTTCAGCAATCTATGCCTATTTGTTTCATGAGCCTCGGGGCACTTGCTAGGAACCCAAGTTAACCCTATACTACCCCCAAAGAGCAGACAGGTAAAAATACACAATCTTGTTTTATACGCTAGCAGACCAGGATAATAAAGCCCATTTCCTTCTCTGGCCCTGTCAGGGTGTTTCTAGACAAATGGACATAACTTTCCTGTAATGTAACTTTTCTTTAAGTCCTGTTCATCTGAGATAGCCATCAGCCGCAGGAACTTGTTTTTCCTTTTTGGCAAACTTGCATAGATTGACTCCTCGTTCCAAATATTCACTCATTGTTCTCAACCATTCAAAATCTTCAGATTCAACTCCCAACGTCACTGACCATTGGCCATGCTGGTAGGGACTGGTAGAAGTTGGGAATACAGCAACATCCAGAGATCCACAGCTTCCCCAATCCTCTTCAAAATGATCCTGTGGATAATAAATTCCCACCCCATGCAGAAGTCCCCTCAGTGTTGATGCTCTTTACCGTTTGTGGCCATAACATTTTACAAATCTTACGAGCTACGATTTTCAGGCTCCCTGTAGACACACTTTTGGCAGCATTGTTGAAACATGGAGTACAGATCTAGATAGACTGACAGAAAGCAAAGTGTCTGTGTCTCCGACTCCTTGGAAGTCGAAAAACACAAAACTGTCTTTCTTCTGAAAGAAACTGCTGCGATAATAACAGTTTTCACAGCAGGGGGCTTGTTTGACCTCCAAAATCCTCTCAAATCCAGGGATGCTCATTGAACATTTCACATAGGTGGCATTGCACGCTGACACAGTTGTGCTATGTGACTTTAGAAATAACAACGCTATACTGATGGGAAAGTAGAGGGCAAGAAACTTTTTTTTTTCATTTATGGTGGGAGAGCCCACTGGCAAAAAAGTTCTGGTCTAATGTGTATCAGGAGGTATCTGCTATCTTAAAGACTACTATACAAATGGCCCTGCAGTTTTCACTTGTAAATATATGCAATGGTCATACTCAAAAGATTGCAACCTAAAGGACAGGTAACATGGCTGCTGGTGTATCCATGGCACAAAAATGGAAGACTTTTCAGGATCTGCTGATATCCTTGTGGTATAAAAAAATGTATGAAATCCGGCGATTACAGAAAAGATAGCCCATAATATAAAGGTTTCCAAAGGCTCAAAAACCCAGAACATTTTCATACTGTTTGGTGAGACTTCTTAGAATCATCCTCTTTGTCAAAGAAATAAACAACTATCTGGCTTTTAGAAGATATCTGAAGGCAGCCCTGTTTAGGGAAGTTTTTAATGTTTGGTGTTTTATTGTGTTTTTAATATTCTGTTGGAAGCTGCCCAGAATGGCTGGGGAGGCCTGGCCAGATGAGCGGGGTATAAGTAATAAATAATAATAATTATCATCATCATCATCACCATCATTTTCCTAGTTCTTAAAGTGCTACAGCTGTACATTTACTTTGGAGTAAAGCCACTAAACTCAGTGGGGCTTATTTCCAAGTAGTCATTGCACTATATGTTACATCACAAATGTGTAACTAAATCATAGTGGCTTCAAGAAAGGAATTTGAAGTAGAGTAGCAGCATGAGGTAAGAGGGATGCTGAATCATTTCTTGGCACATCTCTCTCTCTCTCTCTCTCTCTCTCACACACACACACACACACACACACACACAAAACTCCTCTGTAAGATGACCCTTGGGGTCCCTTCCAACTCTATAATTCTATGATCCTAAGGGTTCCAAACAGGTTTGGAAATGGAAACACCCAATTGGTTCCTTGCAGAAGAGAGAAGTGGCTTGGGGGCAATTTGGAGCTAGAAAGCAACAGGCAGTGAAAGAGTTAAATATTAAACAAACAAACAAACAAACAAACAAACACACCCCACCATGTTTTTCTGCCCCAGATCCCTTTCTCAAAGCTGCCATTGGGCTCTCGTTATATGTGCTTCATGTATGAGGTATACTTAGGCCAGTCATAAATTCTGTAGGAGGCACCGCTGGTCACATTCAGAATTCCATAATTAGGGTCTTTAAGAGTCCTGATCTAGGGCTCATAGGGAGGATGCAATTTTCTGTCACCACAGATTTCTAGGCTGTTCTCGGGCCAGTCGTTTGTTCTCTTAATACCTCCATTCCCCTTGAAGGAACTAAGGGATAATAGGTTTCTCTCTCACCGCACTGTTGTGTGGATAAACACATTAAAGCATAAGAGACATTCATATAGGCTGCAGTAATTGGGCGAAAATGTATTAGGCATGAAGGAATGCAAGCGGGCGATGGTGGTGCACAGACAGACTACCCCCAAGGCAGTGAAGCTGGTACAGAGAATGATTTAGCAATATGAAACAAAGGGGGCGTGGCGCCCTGGGACTTGTGGCAGAGGAGGCAGAGCAAGGGTGGCAAGACTTGGCAGGTGGAAGGAAGGGAAAGTTTCCTTTGCCTCCAGCAAATGCATGGATCTGGCTGCAAGAGTTTGACAGCTGCTGATTTCTGCTTAGTGCATCTCTCAGCCCAAAGTTGTAGCCAACGCCTAATCTGTCACTACAAGACACGGGGGGCATTCATGTGTTCAGGGATAACCAGTGCTTTTTCTTCTTCTGGGGGGTACTCAAGGGTACCGGTATCTTTCCCCCTAGAAGAAAAGCACTAGTTAAAAGTTTGGCATTCACTGTAACAACTGGCATATTTTTTTCCTAGAAGAAAAGCCCTGATCTAAACCATGTGAATAAGTTTGAGAGCTGCACTATTTATAGGGTGATTGGTTTATGATTGGTTCAAGCTGCATCGTATTTATTTATTTATTTATTTCCCCCACCCATCCTCCAGGGAGCCCACTGTGCAATATATCTATGGGTTTTCCCTCCCCCCCCCTCCATATTATCATCACAACAGACCTGTCAGGTAGGTTAGATGGAGAACTGGTGAGCAGTCCGAGGTTACCTGGCAGGCTTCATAGTTCAGTGGGGATTTGAATCCTGGATATAGGATATTCATTTCCAGAAAGGTTAGCCTTTTAAAAATTAAATAGCAGGCATGGGTCTGCATCCTGGATCTTGGTGTGAAGAGGTAGCAGGGGCTTTAATTCCCCCTTGTGATCCTGATCCAGATCAGAGGCATGCATGTTTGCTATTTGCATTGTAAGAAAAGCTGCCCCCCACCCAATCCAAATGGCTTTCAAATCTGTATTGGGACCACTCTCAGATCAATGGTTTAAAGCCCTTCTACTTCCCAATCTGGACCAGGTCCCCTATGCCTGCCATTTGCTTGCTTAAAAGCCACTCACACAACTGCTAATTGAGTGTCATTTTGTCCAGTGTGGTTCTGAGTGCCATTAACTCTTCCTCCAAAGAATCCCAGTAGATGCACATACAGATTCAGTTTTTAAAGCCAGTGAGAATGCAGTGCAATACTATGAGCGACCATCAGTCCCTCCTGCATGCATACCCATCTGATAAAAGATTATAGCAGCCTTATTAATTATAGTTATTGTACCAGACCAATTTGTCAGCTCAGAATGTGTCTCAAGATCAGAGTCTTCTGTTGTGCAAATAACCATTAATACTTGCCCCGTCTGTAGCAGTGGGAGACAATTATCCCGAGACAAGACTGCTTTGAACTGATACAATCTCTTAATTATATGGTACTCTGTAATATAGTCTACCATCATTATAGTAATAACAGAATAAATGAATGCTCTCTTCACCAAAGTCATACTTCTATCCTCCAAAAATGCCTCCAGACATCTGAAACTTATTCTGCAAATGCTGACACCTGGAAGGATGAAACCCTGAGACTTTTTTCCAAAGTCCCAGCTGGCTCATCTCATAATAGCACATTTACTTTTGGGGAAAAATACCCCACCTTTCCACCTATTTTTCCCTGGACTTTTCCCTTGGTTTCTGCCCCACCAATAGAAACAATGCTAACATCCCATTTTATGGGATTAACCCAAACGTGGTAAATCCATGTTAATCCAAACACCATGCCCTACTGACATGACAGTGACATACCACTGAAATATAAGAACTGTCAATCAACTAAAGAAGGAAATTATAAAGGAATGAAACCTAATTGGTGTTGGGAACAATGGAATAGGATTCCCGCCTATCAGCTATTCAAACAGGTGGATGTTTTTGAAGCAAAGTACACAACAGGCATCAATAACTCCTTAATGCAGGTGAACACATGCATATTAGAACACACACTCATGATAAACCTCCAAGTATCACAATAATGGAGAAATATTTACACAGATTAAATTAATATTTATCTCTTTTCTTCCCCATCCCGTAAGCAATCCTTACTCTTTGTCAAAAGACCTATTAAGGTGACACTACAACCCGAGTTATTCATGAGAAAACATTACAGCTGTCCCTAGACAATCAGAACATGCTGAAACAGCTGTATGACAAGATGAGTCACCATTATTAATCACCGATTCTTTATTGCATGAGGTAGACACACACAAATGGCCATGAAGCTGGAAGGTGATTGCTTCTTGTCTTTTGTGTGATGACTAGCAGTGCCTTTACCACTGTCCTTCCTCCCAGGGCAGAACTGAAGACCATTGCTTCACCAATGTGACCGCAGCTTGTACTTCTGAGGGCTTCTTGTTGTGTGTAATAGACAAAGCCTAAACACAATCATGTCTTGTGAAAAGCCTTACATGGCTCAGGACCTCAATACCTTAAGGACCGCCTCTTCCAATACAACCCATTTGTCATCTGAGGCTCTTCTCTATGTCCCCCTTCCCCAAAAGGTTTGGAGGGAGCGGCAACAAGAGAACAGGCTTTTTCTGTGGTGGCTCCCTGACTGTAGAATGTTCTCCCCAGAGAGGCTCGCCTGGTGCCACATGTAATGTCTTTAGGCACAGGCAAAGACATTCCTCTTTACCCAGGCCTTTAGCCATTAAATAATCTATGGCCTGTTAAATAATCTATGGTCTGATGGGGGAAGAGAGCTGTTATTATGATTATTTTATTATTATGCTGTCTGTGATTATGCTTTTAGTATTGATGCTCTGTAAAATGTATTCTTAATGTTGTACACTGCCTCGGGATCTTTTGATAAAGGGCAGTATCTAAATCAAATAAATGAAATAAAAGGATAAAAAAGCACTGCAAATGCAGTTAATCATGACTTATTTAAATTCCACTGATTTCAGCAGGGCTTTGTTGTTGTTTAGTCGTGTCCGACTCTTCATGACCCCATGGACCAGAGCACGCCAGACACTCCTGTCTTCCACTGCCACCCGCAGTTTGGTCAAACTTATGCTGGTAGCTTCGAGAACACTGTCCAACCATCTCATCCTCTGTCGTCCCCTTGTCCTTGTGCCCTCCATCTTCCCCAACATCAGGGTCTTTTCCAGGGAGTCTTCTCTTCGTCACTGCTAACTGCTAACTTTGGCTAAATTGTGGCCACTCTTTGACGGTTGAGGTTACCTGTTCACAATTTTTCTTGCACTGTTGACAGTCTTTCAATGGGCAGTGCTGTTCCAAACTCTGAAGTGTTGGAATGCTTGATATCACGTCTATTCAAACTCATTTTGTTTCTAGACATCTTTCAAACGTGCCAAATCAAGTGGACTTGACTTCTTCGAGTACACACAATCTGCTTCTTCTCCAGCCTGCATTCAGAGCATGTGTTTCTGTGTGGAATTCTTTTTGCAACCCCTTCACCCAGCCTCAGTGCAACACACGCTCGTTCAATGCAATTTGTTATAGCTTCACATTGTTCAATTTGTTCCTGTACATAGAAATTTTAAACTTTCCTCCTGCCTAAATCTCTTCTAACAGGGAAGGAAAATATTTGGAGCTGTCAAGTTATGGAGCAGTTTCAGTGCCTGACAACCTTCCTGGAATGATTAAACTACATCTGTGCCACCATAAAATATGAAGAGGTATTATATTTCTTTGTACGATATGAGTGAAAAAGTTGGAGGGAGAAATAGAATGCCCTGTGATTTAGGAGTGGAAACCACAACAGCAAAACCCACCCGCACAATATGCTTCTTGGATCCCTGATATCATGAACATGATTTTCCATCATTTGTTTTCACTGCATCACAGTGTGTTCCAAGGTGATAAAAAGCAGATATAAATGAAGATGAGAAATTACATTCTAAAACTGAAAAGTAACCTAAAAACACAGCACTAGCCTCAAAAGTGAATTGAAGACCATTCCTGATGAGACTCCTATGCATATATGAATACTGTATTATTACTAATGGCTCATACAATGTATCATGTATCAAAAAAATACATTTAAACCGCCCCCAACCAATTATATTGAATGTATATAACTGCAATACATCATCCTCTGTATGGTTTATAATCTCGCTGTTTAAGAAATGCACGTAAATATTTTAACGGCTACAACATCACTAATATTACACCAATATATACAGAAGAAAAAATCATTTAAAGGCCAGCTAGACTTGATGCCAGAATGATCTGACCAGGGTCATACCAAATCATGATATGTTGGGGAGGGGTGTGGTCAATTTAAAACACAACAGAGGGAGGGGAGGGGTCAACTGACCCACCTTTCTGGGGCTTCCACCTGCCCCACTGGGACATACTGGCCCTGGAGGCAGCTCTGCATGTCACGTGCCTCAGAAAGCTGTTGGGCTCTCTCTTCTGGAAGCTTCTCCTTTTCCCTATTGAAAGACAGTGTGGTGCAGTGGTTAGAGCATCATACTACAACTTGGGAGACCACTTGCCATGAAGCTAAGTAACCTTGGGCCAGCCACTGTCTCTCAGCCTAGCCTACCTCACAGGGTCGTTGGGGGGATTAAATGAGCTCCTTGGACAAAAAGGTGGGATATACATGCAACAAACAAACAAACCTTTCTGTTACTCATGCCTTCCCTACCCACCACTGCTCCTTGGCCCTTCCCCCCCCCCTCATGGTGAGTGATATTTATGGTCCCTGAGTAGGAAGAAAATGGGAAGAAATTATTGTGGGGGAAGGGCAAGGGTCCAGCACCCTCTCCCCACTTAATGCTTTAAGCAACCATATTCTGACACACAGATATCTGTAATATCATACTTAACAAGAAGTAAGCGCCGCTGAATTCAGTGGGACTTATTCCCACATGTGTCGAGAATTGCAGCCTTAGTTTGGTCCTCACAGTTAAAAGAATGCTATAACTGAGGTACCTATAACTGCAGTAAAACAGTGCTTTAAGAAGACTGCCCAGTTTCTGAAAATAAATATCTTAGCTGCTCAAAAACCACAATTCCAGTGTTGCAATTGCTTGTATAATTCATCCCAAGGGGTGGGGGGTCCCTAGCTATAGTTTGCAGGAAGGAAAAAGAGCATGCAGTGCAAAAAGTCAAGTTACAAAACTCTGAACATTTCTTGTCAAAATTATATGTCAGCTGAACAATTCCAGATCACATATGTAAAGAAATTGTAATTTAATGCTTTGTTGAATCCATGCCTAGTCCTACGATTATGCTCTCAGAAGTGAATCTCACTGAATTCAAGGCGACTTACTCCCTAGTCAGCATGTTTAGGGTAGCAGTCGTAGATGGACTGTACCAGTATACGTCTCCACTAGACTGCATCCTAATTGTAATGATTTCCAATATTCATGAAAAATAATAATTGGCTGAATAAGTGTTATCTAAATGCCCTGAGTAGAAAAATGAATTGATTGCAATATGGTGTTTCCAATGATTAGGTGATATATGCCTTACAGATTTCTTTAAAAATCAAAATTTCTTACAGCATCTAAAAAAACACATCCCTTTCTGAATATAAAGCAAAGAGTATTACCTCTTAAAATTAACAGAAATGTATAAGGTTTGACTAGAACTGCAGTCTGGTTACAGAATATTGGGTCACTCAACCTTAACTCACAATTTCTTCAGTGGATGCAGGTCATTCGAAAGATTACATTCCAAAATATAGCCAATAATAATAGAAGCCACCTATTAGACTTCTGGCATGCAATATGTCTCACCATTGGTGATGCCTGCACAAGACAGAAAGTCAATGTGGGCTTTTTTTATGTCAGCAATTGTGCTGCGAAACCAAACTGTGAATTCACTTCAACTTTACATTTTCAAGGGTTTAACTGGAGATTGAAGAACACTGAGCTAGGCTTTTCAATCATCTCTTTCAATCCTTGTGTAAGGTCTAATATCAATAATAGCATGGTATTACGTTTGCTGGCGAGCATATACAGTTCCATAGAGAAATACAGTGACCTGTGAGTAATCTAATATATTAAACATGAAGTCAGGATTTGTTGCTTCGGGATAACAATCAATGGATCCTTATTGTGTAAACAAGGCCTACTTTAAAGCAGCAATGTGGCTCTTGTGCCAAGGTTTTGGTTATTTTTAGCTCATAGCATTTTACATCTTAGTAAGCATTTTCCTATACGTTTAAATGCAGATTTGTTTTAAGAATTATCAGCCACAGTCTAACACAGTTCACTTAAATCTCTGAATTTCAAAGGAATCAAGGGCACCTCTTCCCATGTTGAACTGAGACCATCATTATGTCCCAGATTGCGGTATATGATGGGGTAACCAACATATGGTGTCCTCCAGATTTTGCTGGACTACAATTCACATCAGCCCTAGCAAGCACAGCTAATTATCAGGGATGATAGGAACCATGGTCCAACAGCATTTGGACCATCGTCTATGCCTGGTTATCCCACACTCAATTTGGGGCACTATTATGTATGCAGAATTCTAGATACCACATGTCTTCCCTGTATTACATTCTTGCTTTAGAGCAAGTTTTAATCTCAACAGACATTTGAAGCCCTTGGTTCCACATCTAGCTTCTTCTCTCTGATTTATGCAGCCTACCTTGCTCCCGACCCAGTGTTGGGTGTGGGTGTAACAATCTGATTTTATTTATTTCAGGTGATATCCAACTAATTCCATTGGTTTCAGTGGATTTCCTCTGAATATGACTTACTCAGATAGCATCTTAAATTTCAATTCCAACTTTCTTCCAGAGAGCTAATGGCAACATTTATTTATTTTAAATAGGTTTACACTCCCCTTCATCAAAAATATATCGGGACAGTGCACAATATATGTACATTTAAATAAGACAATAAGTCAACTATCATGAAACAATAAATAAAATTAGGCAAGATCTGGTACATTAAAAGGCCACCAGGACCCTGCTCAGACCTAGACCTCGTTAGCTTCAGCAACATTCTTATACCAGGTTGTTGTACAAGACTTTTTAGATGGAATTTCCACTCCCAAAATCTTATGAGAGACTGGCTAATCAAGTATTCATGAAGCTGGGTATCTGAGCTCACTTAAGTTGAGGATATGTTTTTGTTCCACAGGAAAGCATGCAAGCCAGGGATAGATAGAAGAGTAATGGAAGACTGATGGCCTCCTAAAAATTTTTTGGAAGGAGGATATTCACACGTACACAAGTATGTCTGTCTTTTACTTGAGTTGATGTGAGTGAAAAACAAAATAACCTGCTTCTGGACTCACTACTTGACTTTGGGGTGCCATATTCCAGTTCCAAATAGCCAATTACAAAGAAGTATCTGAGTGGCTCTTGTGACGGCATGCCAGACAGGGAGCGTTGCTAGTGAATTGTCTTTTTGGTTCTGCTGGAGAGGCGTGGTTGGCGTGGTTGCCCAGACTGGTAGCCATTAACAGAGCCAGAAAGAAAGCAAACCATGCAATTGGGCAAAAAGTACAGCATTTGAGAGGCCATGTGACACACTACCCTGCCATCACCTTCGACCAGGAGGCCTTGTTTCACGATGATGGGGTAGACCTTTCTGATGTCGGCAATGATAGCTGGTTGAATGATATTTTAGAGTGTGTCAGGGATTGGTTGCAGGTGTGAGGGTGTTGGCAGCGAGCCATTTGGGCTTGAGTGAGGGCTAGGTGTTGGGTAAGTCTTTGTTTATAGGAAGGTTGTACCCTTCACCTGCCCTTCCTGTTAAAGGGAGCCAGGGGTGTGGATTCTGTCTGAAGCCTGGACATGGGCTAGGGCCATGTCACAACCCCTATGTGGGTGCCCATTTTTAATGTAAGTCATAGGGCTCCCCCTCTCGGTGGTTTACACTTAGTTGGACTCCCAGCAGATGGACTGGAGTCGTGATATAGCCTGGCTTCACCCAATGCCTAAGCCAAACCGCTCACATCTGTAACCAATGAAGTTGTGGCCTAATTGAACCCATAAACCAAAATATTTGTGTCTGTGTGTTTGTTTGTCCATTAGGGAACTGTGGGTCACGGGGGCCTTGGAACGCAATTGTCTTTTTGGTTTTGTACACAAAACAAGGCACAGTGCATGACTGAGAGCTTACATGAAATATCTTATTGAGTTCTAAGTCTGTGGCTACAGGATAGGTAGTAGCATTTCCAGGGACCAAAAAAGTTTACAGTGGCTGTCAGCTTTCATTCCTTTTCTAAGAAAAAACGATGTCAATATTTACTATCTAGGAAGGAGAGCTTGAGTTCCATAAAGAAGGTCTCTAGATGAGACATTTCAGTTTTCTACTTCAACATAGCTGCTGCTCTTTCTTTCATGTACCCAAATGACATCAGAATGGGGTAATTTCTTGACTTGGCAGGATTGAGTAAGGACAGAAGAACTTTAACTGTGTGTACAAATAAAAGAAAAAGGAACAGCAGCAGGAGCAAGGTTTTAAATCAGACGAGACGAAGCAGGGAAGAAGCACAGCAAAGTGAGAGAAAGTAAAAGAAGTTCCTAGTGAGGGGAAACAAAGGGAGACATTATGAAATAGCCAGAGCCAAGTGACAATTAAAATGCACAAGCTATGGATCCTATAACACAAATGGCTCAACTTCAGAAAATTTGATTTTCAAAACTGAAGTAATTGGGCCAGCTTAATTAGGCAATTTAAGAGATAAAGAATGGCTTCCGGGTTGACATAGAAACCAGAAGAACACCAAGCGAATACTCTCATTTTTGCAATGGGGGATGCAGCAGACGATATTCTCTGTGACCTACCTCTCACTGCTAGGAACCAAAAGGTTTATTAAAATTCGAAAGAAGCTTTTGATAACCATTTTATATGGAGACAAAATATCAAATATGGAAAAGCAAAATGGAACAGGAGGTGCCACTATGGAACACTGAAAGAGAAGCTTATAAGGGACAGAATTCTGTAGTTGTGGGTGTAAAAGGTACAGAACTGTCAACTCAACTTGGGTTGGATTCTGGTGTGACATTAGCCGATGCAATTGCAAAAGTGAGATTGCATGAAACCAAACCACTTATTGGACTTATACACTAAGCTCACTAGCGGCAAGGACCCAGAGACTGAGGACTCAGCGCAGTAAAAATCCATTGGAAAATGGGAGAAAATGTGGTCAGACCATATGAGAACTCACTTTTCAGAAGACTGAAGCTTCTTCGACTGCACATTTAATATTAATTAGTACAAATGGTTGCTTCATGTACCCATTCATTAGACTTAAATTGTGCTAGTTTTATGTTCCCTCCACTGAACATAGTTTATGGCTGGCACAAAGTAATTACCTACAACATCCAGCCAAATTGAAGCACTCTTTATCGGTATTGATTTCAACAATAGCATATGCTTAACTCTCCCAGTGAAATCAGTGAGACATAGGAATGCATAAAGCTACAATATACACACTTACCCAAGAATAAGTCCCATTGAATTCAGAGGGGTTTGAGTGGACATGCATGGGGCTATGCTGTAAATTTGACTGGATTGTGCCTTGAGGATTTAAGAAAAAGCACTTCTTACCTAAGTTAAATAATTGTGCAAAACCTTTCCAGTTTTCGGTTAGAAGAAATGTCTGTGTGCAGCACAGTGTAGCCAGAACATGAGAAAGCTTTCACAGCTGTGTTGCAAGCTTTTGAGAATCCCTTTTTAATATAGATAATACGTTCTATAGAAGTGTTTTGTGTTCTTGAGTTTAGTACTGGTTGCTTTTGCCTATCAGAAATAATATCCATCTACAGAATCCGGCCAAAATCACTTGCCCTCATTTGGCTTGACGCTACACAAGAAACTTGTGAAGTTTGACGTCTCCATTTTCGAGCAATTTTCTCTGTTGTGAAAGAGCCTTTTATTTTGTCACAGCTGTTATGAACCAAAATGAGTAAATAGTGAATGCAGGGCACAAAAGGGAAATAGAATGCTTGATGGTAGAGTGTTATGGTATTCAAGGGTAGTTGAAAACTTCTTTCTGCTTGCAAGTATTTGGACCAATAGGGTGCAAAGGTGTTGGATTGGAACGCTGTATCGTTTTGGAGTCATCTGCCTAAAAGAAGCTTGTAACAGAACTCTGCTGTATTGGGGCTCCATTACACATCCTTTAGCCATCCTACCCCATGCTTTGTCCATACAGTTTTCCGATGTTATTTGACCTTTTAAAAAAAGTCTATTCGCTTTACTACTTTGGTGCTTTGCTTCAATTTAAGAATCTTCTCAACATTTCTATTTTTTCTGCTTTGGAAACATATTTTGGAATCTTAAAAGGATTGTTCGTATATATATATATAGAGAGAGAGATGTTTAAGGCAACATTAAGGCCACTCACAAATCCAAAGAATTGTCCAAATAAAAGAAGGCAATGTGTGTAGAAGTGTTTGGTTTTTGTCTAAGGCTGCACACGCACCTTATCTTTAAAGCACATTCGAAACTGATTGTTTCCCTCAAATAATTCTGGGCACTGTAGTTTACCTCCAAGACCATTTTACAATTCCTAGCAACCCAAGCAAACAAGGGTACCCATAATTCTCTGAGGGAAAGAGTGTGGTTCGAATGTGCTTTAAAAATACAGTGTGCACACAATTAATAAACAAAAATTAGTAAGCATAGCATCTTGTTGTATTCACCTGATAGTGGGCATTTTCATCTTTTCAGAGAATTCTTATGAGTTAACTGAGAAATCTAATGCAATTTAGAGTTTATGAATAAGAACAATGAATAGTTAATTAATGTAGAGTACACAAGCACATGATCTTGTGTGTGTTTGTGTAGTGCCAGTTTCATCCTCAAATTTGCAATTATTTGCAAAAATAACTGCAAAGCTCCATTTGCTTTTTGTGAAAAATTTATACAAAATAACTTTGTTTCACTGACGTGCGGGATTAATAGGGATTGCCCAGAGAGTTGCTTTCTGCCTTTCTTGGCATAATAGTGTTAAACCAAAAGTGGGACAGAAAATACCAAGGGGTGGAGGATATGGGAGGGGGTAGAAGACGAAAAGGTTATTTATGGGAGATTTTACAATTAGGGCTAATCCATACTTATCTTTTGCCCTACTCTTTCCAGGCACAAGTTTGTGCTTTAAAGCTCCATGTCTGAGCATTCTTTCCCCCCCCTTTTTTTTTTGCGCGAGATCTTTCCCTGCAAAAACCCACTCTTTAGCACTCATTCAGAGCAAACAGCAATTCAAGTTTCCCATGGATTGCTGTTTGCTCCAGTTCAGCTTTAAAGAGTAAGCTTTAACAGGGAAAGCTTTGAGGGAAAAAAGAAGAGTGCTTGGAGCTTTCAAGCATGGACCATGCCTGGAAAGAGCAGAGGAAAGTTAAGTGTGGATAAGCCCTATTTTCCACTGCATTGTTCTTGCTGATCATGCTAGTCTGTCATCTGAACTAGCAGTAGCTTCAGAGAGGACTGCCACAGTCCAATATACCTGAAGGATACTATCTGGAACAAGACATAGAACAGCTTATATACTGCCATTATAGATTTGCAATAAACCATTTTACAACCTTTGTATGCCTACTTTACTTTCCTGGGCATTTAAGATATTGTATGGTTGCTTTCACAGAGTTTTACCTATACTGAATTCCAGATCAGCCTCTCAGTTTCCAGATTTCTTTTTTCATTGCACGTGTGAGCTGCTAATATAATAAATGTTCTCTGAGCAATGAACAGATATAAATAACAAATTAAAACAGAAATTATAAAATGCAATCAAATTAACACTAAACCCCAACAAACAAGATGCCAATCACACCAACAAGTGCAACAGTAATCTCTGAATAAATAAAGTATATACTTCTGCACTCTAGACTTTCTAACCATCTGTCTGGATGTCTTCTATTTCCAAAAATATTTTATAAGATTCAGCTGGGAAAAGTAAAGCTGTGCACACAGGATACAGACCAGGGTGAGGCTAAACTTGATCCATGCCCCTGGTGACTGCAATCACCCAATGTATCAAAAATGAAATCTACGGTAATCCTATCTGCAAAACTTCACCATTCGTGTTGGGATCGCAGAACAAAATGATTTTCCTGTTGGTGGAACTGTTTGCTTTTGTTGTTGTTGTTCTATTCTTGCCAAGATACCAGTAGCTGGAAAGTGTGTTGCTTGTTGCAACTTCATCTCATAGCCTTATGAAAATTAAGGCATTTTTACACCATCTTCAATGTTTTAATAATGGGGTTAGTTGTGCATATGTATATGCCAAAGTGCCTTTTGGCACATTGATGCATATGTAGCCATTGGCAGCAGAGTGCCATAGCTTGATCCGGGCCGAATTCAAAGTATGGTAGGAAACATGTGCACAATCTCTTTGCAACAGACCGATTGAAAACCAAGGCTACCATGGGCTAAAACCATTGTCTGAATAGATTCTTAGTGTAAAACAGGGACGTTACTGACGCTCTACAGTCTCATAAGGGACACAATGTACTTTCTGCATTTGCTGCCAAGGAACCACATCTGTTCTCATGAAGCTAGAACAGAAGAGCTCAATGTGCTCAAAAATGCCAACCCGTGCAATCCTCTATTGGCCCACTCCAATGTAACATTTTCCTCCATTGGATTCATTTTGGAATTATTCCTCTGAATAAAACAATATGTCTTGGAAATATTAAATCAGCTGCAAATACATGTGGTTTTTTTATTTTATTGGGGATGTCCATGAGCAAGATAACTTTAGGGTCCCTTTGTTAGTTAGCATCATTTTTGGAAAGCTAGCAATTGCAGTAAGTTAAA